CTCTTTGAAACATAATTGAAGACGTTTGTAGTGCAGTAAAAACCAGATGAAGGCAGTATGACAGCCTTTGATTACACAAACATACAGGAATAACAACTCTTGATTATCCAGAGCTCAAGCTGCTCATATCCTCTGCACATGAGCAGCTTGAGCTGATTCTATCAAATGATAATACAGTATATTTGTAACTAACTCAGCAGCTCATTCTCTTTCTACTGTCGAATACTTTAAGTCACAAGAACTTCTCATTTTACATGGCTACATACACAGGCCCTATTCATTTACATGGTTTAACATAAGACCATATAGATTAGCACGTTTACCTGGATATACTTCATTACTGTACTGCATGGTAACTGGTAGTACAAGCATTTGGCCACATGATGGCGATGTTGATCTTAAATTGATGTTAAGTTAATATTGAGATGATATTTCTTTGATAATCAGCAACAAAAAGACTTTTTTTTTTCTTTTTTTTTTACCAAGACAGGATGAAAAGTCATTTCTTTGTATAGAACTTTGTGAGCATAGTGACAAAGTGCTTTACAGAACAGGTAAGAACAGAGATTCAGATTGACCTTTGATTCTTTCTCTGTTGGATCCTTTCTGAAGTCTGGCTCAGTCACATCCTGAATCTTTTCTTTCTTTTGGGATTTCTGCTGTCTGTCTCCACCACAGAGATACTGTGAGTCCCAGAATGCAAACCTGCCATCTGCATGCGACCACAGAGAATACCAGATGATTCATGCTACTCAGAAATATGGAACTACGTGGATTGGAGGGACTGATGCTCCACAGGTTCGTATCAAAGCTTTGACACTTCTGAAGATGAATCTACCCATCAAGCACTGGACTTGGACAGTAATGTGTCCTAGTTCTCCATATTTATCATTTGAGGCTGTCGTTTCTTTTTAATGAGTTTTTGTCTCTTTGGTTCTGTTATGTCGGAGGGTTACTGGTTTTGGGTGGGTGGAACTGGTTTCACATTATTAAATCTAGTTCTTGTCATTCTTTTACTGAATAGAGAGAACACGACTCAGTTAGTCAAAATATTTATAATTTTTATTTAATCATCTTCCGGAAGAGAGATTGGACCTCCGATGTAGAGGTCTGGGCATTCCTTGCTGCACTGTATGGCAAACACCACATTGTTAAGTTTGTGTTTTGGAGTTTTGTCTTTCGGGTGAACCAGTTTCTGTCTGAGTGTGTTGCTGGGTCTGAAATGCACCGGGATGTCGTGCTTGGAGAAAACTCTCCTGAGTTTTTCTGATACACCGGCTACATACGGGATGACAATGTTGTTGCGTCTGTCCTTCTTATCCTCCCTTTCTTATCAGACACCAGCGAGGGAGGATAAGAAAGACACTGGAGAGACCAAACAGCCACTTCACAAGCGCATGGCACAACACAGAAGAGCCACCTCCACAGGACAAGACTCAGCTGTCCATCTGCATCTAAAGGTCAAAGGTCACTCCTTCGAGGATGCCAATGTTCACATTTTGGACAGAGAGGACAGATGGTTTGAAAGAGGAGTGAAAGAAGCATCTATGTCCAC